TATACTTCTTCAAGAGCGCGTTACTCATTCTCTTATTTGATTTCAAATGAAAAGAAAGAGAAAGAGAAAGAGAAAGAGAGAGAGAGAGAGTATCGTTTTGTATCCATTTTTTCTGAAATAGAAACTAACAATAAGTCAATTTCTTTTCTTTTTTTTTTTCTTATCTTTGAAAGAACCCTTTTACTGACAATAATTCTTTATCGAAAATTAACCCTTTGATTGTGACGTGCTCTCGAATCAATCCATTAATATTAACGGCGGGTGTGATTTTCGCATGTCAGTCGCTACGACTGTTTTTCCATTCGACTACTCCAACCAAAACAAATAAAATAAAAATATAAATTTAAAAATATTTTTTTTTATTCAGTAATTTTTTAAGCTATTTTAATTTAATTTCTTTATTTTGTGCATTCCTTCAATAATAATCGATAATTTAAGTGTAAAAGAAAAAATACAAAAATTTATAACTGTAACACAGAGGTATAATAACTTTAACAGGATATTTGAATAATTTTACACCTAATTATAAAAATAATAAAATTAAAATGTAGACGACGAATTTCAAATATAACAGCAATTAACTTAAACGACATTGAAATAATTGCCAATATTTAATTGCTATGTTACATATCACAATAAATTCCATGTTAAATTAATCGGTAATGCAACGATAAAGGTGTTATAGTAAAAAAATACAGAGTTCCTATGTATATTTACGTCTCTACATTGACAATAACTTACTCAGTATCCACGAGTCAACTCTCACACGAATACTTACAAATTAGGGACTCGTCTGGAATGGAGGTTCGTTTTGTGATCCACTTGACAATCGTATAATAAATAGAGAAACGAGAAGAAAATAATTGAAAAGACCAAAAAAAAGAAAAATGATCGTAGAAACACGTATAGTAAGCTAAAGAAAACAGACAAAGGGCTTTTAACACGTTCCGTGCGACGTGTACCATAAATGGGACACGACATTTTCATGTAAAGGAGTAGTTTAGTTCATTCAAATCCTTGTAAGTATTGTCCCGTTTCGATCACATTCCTTTTTATGAAAGGGTCAAAGGGTTTGCTTAAATATGAGTAAGTATTAAATTTGTTTGTGATGAAAATATTCGGTTAAGGTCCCTGAGGGTGTCTCGAGGATGACTAGAAATGAGGTCAGTTTACCGATCCTTCTAACTCCTTCAGGTTATCAGACTTTTTTCCTGGCCAAAAGCCAACGGTCGTCATGGTAACCGTCTCTTAAACGTATTCTCGTTCGTTTTTTTTTTCTTTTTCCTACCCATTGCCACCTTCCTTTTGCTAGTCACTTTATGGGGAAAAAAAACATCGTAGTTACCGATTTATCGAACTCAAAATGTGTCGCGTCTTGTTTTTTTTTTTTTTTCTCTAAAGATTACTCGTAGCATTATATTTAACGTATGTATTTTGATTCCTTTCTTTTTTTTTTTTTTATTTAAAAAAGAGCGTACTTTAAATTTAAAAATGAGGAATAAAGATAAAAAGAAGAACTAAAACGTTGATTATTATTATAATTTATTTATAAAAAGATAAAAGCATCTGCCGAGGTAGATTTGAAATATCTTCACAAAAAAAAAAAAATGAAATAAAGTAGGTGAGAAGTTGAGAGCAGCAACTTTTTCAACGTTGTAGTAGTAGTATATCGAAGTTTCGAAAGACTAATGGAGTACGATGAAATATTCAAAATTATGACTGGAAGACGATTTACACATTTTTCAATTTATGCGTTTTATTTATTTTTTTTTTTTTTGATACGTCGTCAAAATTCCGAATACACGTTGTAGTACTTAAACTACTAAGTCATTTAAAATTCTTTTATGCGAGAATATAATTATCTAAAGTACGTTGTACACGCACACAGCACACACACACACACACATATACACAGGTCATCATTTCGAGTATAATCCCTATTCGAACATAGTTTGAAACAATGTTGTGGTCTTTTTACCGATGATGAAAATGAATTATTCTACTGGATTTAGCAAAGTTACATTTACGTGGCAGGCAAATAAAATGTCTACAATGTGTTTCGGCCTGCTTCAATTTTCCTCGCGAGTTGTTTTATATTCGAGATGGATGGATTTGAAAAAAAATTGCTTTCTTGCTTTGTTTAGGTTTTCACGAGAGGATGATAAAAAAAAAAAAAAACAGATGGAAAAAGATCCTTCAAATTCGAGATATGAGACATTTTTTTTTTTTTTATTAGAGCGTATAAAAATATAAGTTTTTTTTTTTTTTTAGGTCAGCGCGCAAATTATTTCTCGTTATTTTCTTTAAGAATTGTATTTCATTGTTTTGTTTTTATACATTCATGGGAGCATTGAAAATGTTTGATAAATTATTACGCAAGTAAACGATTATTATTTTGTTTGTTGTTAATTTTGTTACGTATTTCGAAACATTTCGATCATCTGAAAGATACTTCATGGAGTAAAGTATTAATATTACGAAGTAGGGGATTACTCGAGATATTTCGAGATTATTCGTAGATAATATTTTCTAATTCGTAGGTAGCATTGTTTGTAACAACGGGGACCGTCACGGTACTAGATTTCAATTGCACGGAAAAGCCAACATAGTTTCCCGACACAATTCTCCGGGTTTGCCTATCCTGACAGCTTGTTTTGTTCATAACATATGTATATACATACGGTTGGACAACGAATTGGTGTTTGCCGAAGCGTGTGAGAATGAAAAATGTGAACTCATCGAAAATCATGCGAGCCAACGTTACATTCAACGATATTCGAGGATAACAACAACAACAACAATAACAACAAAAATGTGTCTACGTTTCGAAATAAACAAACGAATTCGACTAATCTCTCAATGATTACTTTCAGTTATCTTCTTTTACCTACGTCATAAAAAAAAAAAAAATTAAAAAAAACAATCCGAACGTTAGTCTGCTTATAATCATTTACAATTTTTATTAATTGGTGGCTATGTTTTCGAGATATAACTGTATTAGTAAATATCAACAATTTGAACAAGAATAGTTGACCTATTAGAATCTACGATATATCTGTTGGTTAGTTGCTTAATTACATTATCGAAATGTGAAACCAATAAAGTCGATAAATGTCTCTTCCTAACGATTACATAGCAGAAAACGATTTATTTCGTTTATTTATTATTAAATGAATCGAGGTTTTAAATGTAAATTACGAATACTGTTTTGAGGCTAATGAATTATTACATTTCATGCACATACGTGATTTTAAATGATAAAGCAATAAAGAGAGAAACAGAGAAAGAGATAATATTTCAATAAATATGATTAATTTTAACCGAATCCAATAAGCAAATATGATCGTTTAAAAAAATGACTATAAAATTAAATTTAATTAAATATATATCTAGCATTCTATTTGTTTCATTTCTTTACCTGAGTTGCTAATTGCTGTAATACAATTATTGACACCTTTGATAATGACTAATATAAAATCGCGCGTGTGAACTTCGCGCGTATATATTTACTGATAATTACTGGATAATGTATAATAGTGTTAGAATTTGAATGTGTAAATATGTGTATAGTATTAGAGGTTAATTCTAAGAAGATCAATAGGGTGTTTTCTTGTCAGTCTTCTTGGGTAACAATAAGGTTTGAGTAACAGTTTCCTTTTTTTGCGAGGCGGTTAATGTGATTAGAAATTAATTACATTTAATTAATATAAAATTAGTGACAAGGATAAGATGAAGCAAGGTTTACTTGAAAATTTCACAAATTTTTTACTACATAAATAATAATCAAAAAATATATATATATATATATATGTAATACTACGATAAAAGCATTTTCCTATAAAAAATAAATCATTCCAAATGGGTTTTATAATCAAAGAATAAAACATTTGAAACGTAATATTATTTAATCATTCAATTATATTTATTCGCAAATGAAAAGCATGAAAATATGAAAGAAAATATATAATTGTTCTGAACATTTATTCAAATATTTTGTTTTCAAAATTGTAAATTAAAAATAACGTAATGTATCCATTAGTGATACACATGTATCATAGTTTGAAAAATCATGAGAGATGATAAATAATAAATGCAATATAGATGGAAGAAAGGATTTACAGATAATCCAGGTTTGTTACAATCGGAGTACTTATTAGAGGCGATACATCAATATTAATCAGATTATCGAACCACAAATCTAATTCTCATGATATGTACATACATTGGTATACTATACATAATGTAATATATGTATATACATTTAGGCATGAATCTTGTAACCCGAAATAACAATTCTAGTACAGATTTCGTATCACCGAACACGAAATAATTCGTAATGCGTTGAGGCTTTCATGGTTAACCACTGTGTATTATATCTATCCGCCAATTTGTATGTAACACAATCATTATTCAACTATATACACGCGTGTGGAATACGCATACCTTTAGATTTGTTTACATTTACAATTTATATTCACAATTTAATCATTTACACTCTCACTTTTAATGAGAAAATCTCCCTCAATAAATACAAAAAGATTTTTATTAATGCTCGTTCCTTATACTGTTTTATTTCAATTTAAGTTCTCAAATGTTGAACATTAATTATTTTAAAAAGGAGATTTAAACTTTTTCCCTTGGTAAAATTTCCATAAAAAAAAAAAAGAAAAACTAAAAATGAACAAATATTAAATCGTCGTATGATACGATCCGTATATATGAGTCGTTATTAATAAAAAAAGGTAAAATATTTATGAATTTTAAAATTAAGATTAAATGCGTTCATATGATAAGAGAGAGAGAGAGTACCATAAAAAAATGTACCAATTTAGGTTTGAAATTTGATTAGAAAAATTTGTAAAATAATTAGAAGAAGAATAAAAAAATGATAAACATATAAAAAAAAAAAAAAATGTGAAAATTCGATGATCTTGAGATATACATAAAATCGTAAAAATATCTCTTATATATACATTCTCAAAATGAATGTTTAATTTCAGGCACTTCTTAGAGGCGCCCTAACCCAACAAAGTGCGGTCATACTTGTCTGCATGGCAATCGACCGTTACGTATGCATGCTGCACCCTCATCGTTATCACAGGCATTCTTCTAAAAAGGTGAGACCTTAATTCATCCACGGACGTCTTCGTTTCCCTACATCGATAATTTATTACACATGAGATTAGATAACTAGCTACGAAAATATTAGCTTCAGACGATGAGCTTGTTTTTTTTTCTTTTTTACTGTCCTTTGCTTTCTCACTCTTTTTCTCTTTTTCTTTTATTATTATTATTATTATTAGTATTTTCCTTTCAGCTTCGTTAGATCGAACCTTCTAATAGGGAACATGATTAATTACTACGCTAATTACGCTAGAGTTTGGTGAGAAATGAATAAAAAAAAAAAAAAAAACAAGACAAGAAAAACGGTGTCGAAGGATATAATGCAATTTTTATTAAAAAAAAAAAAAAAGAAAAAAAAAATAATCTCGAAAGTAAACGACTTTTTTTTTTTCATCGGGTTTACTTATATTCGTGTATTTTGAAAAGTTATTTTTATTTGTTATTTTTATTGCAATTGTTACGCATCGCTAATGAAGAGAATGCGCAGGAAGACTATCATTCATTTGGCCGACACTTGGCAATAATCCACGATTCCGTAACGATTTTACGGATATACACTGAGGAAATTTCTGTGCCAACCGACATAGTTTTCTCTCGTCGCCTAGGCTATGAGAATTTCTTTTCCTTTTCGACTTATTTGTTTTTATTGTTTTATTATAATATTTCACAAATTTATCGGGGAAAAATAATCGTTCGTTTTTGTCATAGAAAATCGTTTGTTATTATCTTTGCGAATTAATTGAAATTTTTTATTAAATTCAAGAAAAATCAGTTGTTCGTCAAATAAAATGTATGAAAGAAAATACAATTCGAGTATCTCAATTTATTTATTTATTTGTAGGTATTTTTAAATATTTCATTTTTTTGTAATTTTGTAAGTAACCACCTGCGGTCTTGGGAAATGAGAATAAACCCTAAGTAATAATCCCTGTTTGTCATAAAAGACGATTTAAAAAAAAAAAAATGAAAAATATGTATCAGTTGTAAACATTTATTTACATACATTATTCACATATTTTAACTTCGATGCATTAATATTTAAATAAATTGATGTACTATTTAATTGAAATTATTCGAATTGCATGTTAAATCATAGTTGAATTCAAAGTTATAGTAACAAATGTTTCACATTCAATCCTTTATACAACTCACATATCTTTTATAAACCTCAATTTTCATGTACTAATAAATCTGAACAATCAACTCCCTCACATAATGCACGAATATTTCCACAACGCTGTTTTCTTTCACTTATTAACACAATTTTTGATACGAAGCAAAATAAAATTAATAATGATAATAACATTATAAGTAAAGTTGAGTGTGTATTATTACGTAAGTGGGTGACCTCATAGTACAAAGGATAAATTCTATACTTTTAAAAAAGAAAATATATATATATATCATCTATCGCATCAAACAACGTTATCACGTTACTGTCGCTTCGATTTTATCGCATCTATCAATCGATAGTCAAGAAAACGATAAGAACGAAAAGTAGAGGAAGAATAAGAAGAAGAAGAAGAAGGAAGGGTGAATGAAGCGCGAACGTTTTATCGATAGTTTTGTGTTATCAATCGAAATTCCAAGGATAGTGAAGGTTAGTTCAGTATAGTTGGGTGGTGAAAGGGAAAGAGGGAAAGGGGATGGGTTTGATCGCCGGTGCATTGAACGAACGAACTAACTCGACAATGGACAGGACGCGTCGTCAACCGCCTTGAGCATAGATCGAGCTTTCACGTGACCTGATATATCCACCCATAAATGCACTATACAATCCCTAAGCTCCTCATCTCTCGTAATCGTGCTTTCCATTTTTAAAGCTCGGAGGTCAAAATAAGGTGGTGGTGATAAAAAAAAAGAAAAAAAAGAAAAAAACTGATCAAAGACGAAATTGTTTTGGTTTTTTTTTCTCTTTTCATATTTTGTTTACTTGTCTTTTTGGACGCATCCCTCTTTTTTATTTTTTTTTAAATATTTTTTTTTTTCTTATCGTTTGTAATTTTCTTCATCCTTCATTCTTTCCGACTTTTCTTTTATCCAGGTAGGTATCTACTAACACGAAATACTTCTTTCATCACGCGAGAATTCGAATTGTTCTGTCTCGTTTCGCGAAATATCACCTTTCTCGTTTTCCTTTCGTTCCTATTGCCAAGGGAATTACCTTTTCTCTCCTGCGTATGGGGAAGAAGATAGAGAAACGAGAATAGATAGAAAGATCGTTGAACCTCGTTCGTAAACAATAAACCTTTTTCTTGATGAATTCTTTTTTTTTTGTCCTACTTTTTCTTTTTTTCTTAGCCATTTTTTTTGCGTTCCGTTAGATAACGAATTTCGCCCGTTGAAGATAACAATAATAATAATAATAATTATAATAATAATAATTAGTGCTTATAATAACAATAGAAAATATTATATAAATATAATTAAACGCGTATATCTAATATTATATATTATTATATCTCAGATACCACGAATGATAATATTTTGTCTTATTAAGTTGAAATTATCATTGTTAATAATCGAGTAGAATAGTCAATTCATTTTCGATCATCCTAAGTCTTTGTCTAATCGTCTGTCTATTATACGGTCGTCTCTACTTCTCCACATATCAGCGTCTATTCGTCTATTCGTCTATTTTCTACTCGCCTATTCGTCTACCATCTTGTAGACCAGTGGTTCCCAAAGTGAGCAATATCGCACCCTTGTAAGTGATGAAGCGGTCCAGGGAAGGGAGGTGATGACAGCCACAGGTGAACTTTCACAGTCGGAAGAACATTGTCGAGTCAATTCGTACTTTATTAATATTATCATAATTTGTTTTTACTTAATTTTGTTTTTCCTACTTCAAGCACGTCCAATTTCCAATGTTCAATTATATTTTCCATCTCTCTCTCTCTCTCTATCTGTCTCCCTTGTTCTTTTGCTTTCTCATTTCTTAATCTGGCAATATTTCGTAATGGCGTATTAATTTTACAGTCGAACGCTTTGCTAACGAGCGTGTGAAAATTTAGAACGAACGACGAGACATGTTTCGCGTCGAAAGAATTATCGAGATATTTGAGAATCGATATGTGAGAAGAACAAGAGAGAGAGAGAGAGAGAGAGAGAGAGAGAGAGGGCTAAAGGGGGAAGGAAGGAAGGAAGGAAGGAAGGGGCTGGGGGATGGGTGAGAAGAATTGCAGAAAAAGGTAGAATCGACGGTAGTGGTATCAGGCAAATTGATTCGCTGTTCAACATGAGTCGAACTAGTTCGAAGCAACGGCCTGAGAAAATATGGGGGGTTGTTCCTACCACTTGGCTACCCTGATTCCTCTTTCATTGCGGTTACTCTACTTCCGTCGTCTCGTTCCCAGGAAACTCTAGGATCGATGATCGTTAAAGAGACTTTCGTAAAAATAAAAAAAAAAAAAATAAAAAGTCTTTCGTTGTCTCCTGTAACACGTGTTACAGGAAATTCCTCGGTGGAATGTTAATGGTAAATTTTCGAAGAATGTTATGGCTTAACTTTCTCGATTCTCACGATAAACAACACTTTTTTTKTTTTTTTTACCATCGTTCGATCTTTCAATGTTCTTCGTTGTTCTCGTTTACGTTTAGAAAGTTTGTTTTGTTTTTCTTTTCTTGAAATATATTTTGTTAAAAGTTCAAAGATAATAACAATTGTTTAACGATAAATTTTGATCGATAGGTATATATTGTTTTTAATTTAAACTTATATATATTTTTTTTCTGCAATTAAATGCTGATAAGGGAAAATTTACTATTACGTTAAATAATAATAATAATAATAATAATAATAATAATAATAATAATAATAATAACAATTGTAAGATAATCAAATAATATTAAAAAAAAGAATTGTACATTGCGTGTAAAATTTTAATTTTCAATATTTCACGCATTGACGATGCAAATTATTTAACACTATATCTATTAGACAAATTATATTCTTTATCATTGAATACTGATGACAATATATTTACTACTGAACTTTATTAAAATAATTATCCCTTACAATGCATGCAAAACTTTTAATTTAATTTTAAATGAAAAAAAAAAAAAATATCGCAATATAGTTAATGTTGAAAAATAGAAAGAACAAGGAATTCGAACAAAGTAATAATTAAAATCTTGAAATGAAATCATTCAAAACAAAAAACAAAAAAAAATAGAAAATACCTCTGACGAGGAAAAAAAAAGAAGGTTCCTAGTTATCATATTGCGAAATTACAAATCATCGTTGTTCGTATCACGTACGCCATTTATCTGTCCGTTCGTCGAGATCGTCGTGATTGAACGTCGATTGGCCGTAGAACGCACAGCTCGTTAGGATGAAAGGGTGGAAAAAGAAAGAAAGAAAGAAAGGAAAGAAAAAAAAAGAAAAAAAGACAACAAAAAAAAAGATAAACGAAAGGAATAGTACACCGTGTATAAAAGAGCAGAGTGGTAAGGAGGAGAAGGGGGAGGAGGGGGAGGGTGGATTAGAGAGAGAGTTAGGGGGGGTGGGGGTTCGCAAAAGGAACACTCCGTCGAATAGCTGACTCATGCCATCCATTCATTCCGTAATTTTCGGCCTATCAAATGATCGGCCTTTCTAGTTCAACCCTCTCTTCTTCTTCCCTCTTTCCCCTCACGCCCTCATCTATTTTTATCTTTTTTCTGTTTTTTTTCTTTTTTTTTAAGCTTTTTCCTATCACTTTATTTCTCTCTTTTTTTTTTTTATTATTTTATTTTATCTCATTTTATTTTTTTATTTTATATATTCTTTTTTTTGTGTTCCCTTTCTTTCTTTTCCCACCGATCATCCCATTTCTTCTTCGTTCCTCTTCTCTATCCTTTTTTTGTTCCCTTCTTTCTCATTTTGTTTCTTTTATGTTTTTTTATTTTTTTTTTTTTTTGTTCACTTTTGTGTCCTTCCAACCACCACCGACCCTTCGATTTTCTCCTGAAATAGAAGCCTCTCACCTTTATTTCGATTGTAGGATTTTCTAGGACCTCTCACGAATCTTCTTCTTTTATCTTCCGATCTTCTACGACGGTCCTTGGCACCACCGGTAAATTCGATCATCGCCTCGATCACTACTTTAATCTTCTCTTTCTCTATTTCTAACACTTCATTTCGTTTTTTTTTTTTTTTCGATGAAGTGAGAGCTTGATTCTGAGAGTACCAAAAAAATAAAAAAGAAAAAAGGAGAAGAAGTGTGAACAATCTTCATAGATGGGTAAAGTGGATTTCTTTTGATCTTTAGTATTTTTTTAAAACAAATGTCGGAATTTCAAAAGTGATTTAAATTTTGTTCGAAGAAAGGAAAGAACGAAGAAGAAAGAGGAGAATTTATTTTTGATCTTTTTCTCGTTTCTGTAGATAAAAAAAAATAGACGAGAAGTCGTTTATTAACGAGTGAAATAGACAGATGTAAACGTCTTAAAATGTTTCTCGAGATCTTGAAACATAGAAGGGAATATATGATCCTTTCTTCCTCCCTCCCTTCCTCCCTCCCTTCCTCCCTTCCTTCCTCCCTTCCTTCCTTCCTTCCTGCATCCTTTATTCCTTTCTTCCTTCCTTGATTCATTCCGTTTGTTGCGTTACATTCAGCCCGCATTTATCAAGGAATGGACTACTTTGCACCTGTCCCGCATTAAACTACAAAATCGCACTGTAACCTACCCTTTGTCTTCACTAGCTTTGAATTACGCGCGTTAGATAACGGTATCTTATCTTCGGATTTTTATATACGTCCGGATTTAGATATTTGTAAGAATTACATCAGATAACGTCGATAATAGGAAAAAAAAAGGTTTCATTAATTTGCCTATTGTAATATATATATATACATATATATATATATTATTTAATTTAATTATATATAATATTTAATTTATACTTTGGTATATATAAATATAAATATTATTATTATTATTATTAATTGGCATTAGTAACTCGAAAGTTCATTGCCGCAAATACCAAATCCCGGGGCCATTGTTACCGTCCCTGAGCGCAATCCTTCCATTCACGGTCTTCGTATTCTATTTCTTTCAGATCCCATAAATAAATATAGAAATAAAATGTATTGAATTTTATCGAAATTAAAAATGTATCGAAAAAAAAAAACTAGGATTTACAAAGAACAATATCACAGAACAGTGATTTTAACAAAACAGTGGTTTTCGATAACAATTTTAGCTGATTCATTTGATGTATATCTATAGTAGTAAAGATCTTGAAAAAAGAGATACTATATCGTAAAATAGAAGAAAAAGTAAAGAAAAAGTAAAGAAAGAGAGAGAGAGAGAGAGAGAGAAAAAGTTAGAAGATAAGAAAAAGAATGTAAGTTCGGTACGTTAGGGAATCACGAAGAGGTTTCGGAAAAATATCGGCCGTCATTCGAACGAGGGCACCCACCCTTTTCGAAAGGAGGTGGCCAGAGTCAATCGTCGTAATCTCGAAGATACTTAACACGTCGAGAAATCCGTGCTCGTAAAATCTATCGTCTCGATAAAAGTAACTCGTCGGGAAAACTTACAACGGTTAACCGGCAAAACCCCTTCCCGAAGGGCGGAACCTAGATAAAGTTCTTCATTTTTACGAAATCCCAAAGTACATATTTTTATTTTTCAATGCTGATTCATAATATTGATCAACAACACATTTGACGATTATCGTTTTTCAAATATCATATATTAAATTGTCTATTATGAAAAATATTTAAATAAATATAAAACAATATAGAAAATCATTATAAACTTTTATACAGGATGTGATTCATAGTTATCTCTAATATTTGTTAATCATTTTGATGGAAATTGGAAATACATTGAACAAAGAAGTATACAAATCCTTATAAAAAAAAAAAAAAGAAAAATATGTGAAAAATAATAGCAATGTTGGTTGAAAATACCAACACTACTTGTTATTTTCTTATAACAAGTAATAAGAAAAATAAAATATATCACAGTTTTACGTTAAAAGAGTAAATTTAATCAATTATACATATCTATGTATGAAACCATAAACCATTAATCTACCCATCATACACATCTATACACATACACATAACTTTCTAGTTAATAAATAAGATTAATGTATTTATTAAAGCATGAAATAATAACATATATCAAATAAACATAGATAATAGAACGTTGTTTGGTGGATAATACAACGTGTGAGTGACGGTTTTTTTGTGTGTATGTATGTTGACACAGTATTACATGCGGCAGGGTTGTGTAGCAGTGATGTCTACCACTTGGATAGCAAGCTTGGCGATTTTTGGTGCTTTGGTTCTCCCAAGAGGTGGCTACTACTTCAACAGCTCCGGCCTTCTTGCCTGCGATCCTTTCTTCGCTAGAGCATCCCTTAGGTATCGCATTTGTAAAGGGATGTAAAGGAGTCAATAAGTGCCTTCCTTATTCACCCTCCTCTTCCTTTTCATTTCCCCATCCGGGCACCCACCAGGGACCAATTACCATCCGATTACAAGTCCTTTTCTTCGTTTTTGTTCTTTTCCTCTTTATTATTCATCTTTCTCTCTTTTCAGTTTCCTTCAATCTTAACTTATTTCTTGTTATTTTAAATACACGCTTTTTAACCAATTTCAGTTTCCATAACGACGATGAATTGATTTCCTTCCTTCTCTCGTTTACTTTTACCTTTTTCTTTTTCTTCCCTTTTAATTTAATCTGACTTGTTGTATTTTATTTTTATCTTACGTTTGATTAATAATATTTGTTATTCATTAAGATATTTCATTTAGATTTGTAATCGTTTCAATACTTTTTATTCGTCTACAAATAATTTGAAATTAATTGTCACCTAATTTAAATCTCTGTTGGATTATTAATTTTTAATTGGATTCGTATATTAAACTATTTAATCACAAATTTTTTTCCATTGGTTTATACAAACAATTCAATTTTTATTTGTTATTATTTCTCGTGTAATTAATTGTATCGTTAATTATTTTCACGTTCATTTACTTCTATCTTTTCTTTTTTTTTTTCCAACCATTAAGTTTCCGTATTTTATCACACTTCTTCTGGATCAATAATTTTGATAATTAGATTCGTATATTAAGTATATTATTTAAATTATCTCTTATATGTTTTATTGAATCTGCAAATTATATAACCGTTTGTTTTATTTTAGAATGCATTTTCATTATCATTAGCTTCATCGAAGAATAATGAGCAACTTTAAAAACAAACAAAAAATGTGTTTATCCGATCAACTTGTTTTCTCTTCTTCCGTTTCTTCGTTTTTTTTTTTTTTTTAGAATACTCGCATGTTGCTGTTTCTACTTTCCAACGACAATGGTGTTGATGTATTGTTACGGCTCGGCATTTCATGTTAATAAACTACGTTTGAAGAGGGTGGTCTGTGTTAACACACCGGAAATCGTTAGCGGTGGTCACATAGAAAGGGTAAGTCGTAACTTTGTCTACTAATTGAAATTTCAAACTAATTGATAAACTTGTGTATACGACGATGACATCTCCTCGTACTCGTCAAATTGAAAAGTAATTTTTTTGTCTTTATTGAAAATAATTATTCTTTGAAATCTAACGATAAATCATCGCGATCCTTTGATCAAATTAAAATCATTTTCTAAGAAGAAAAATCAATTTTTTTTTTTTTTTTTACTTACAAATTTTATACCTCCTTCGTAAGATTAAATATGATCGATGAAATGATTTTTGATCGAAAAAGGGCCCGAAGAAAAAAAGGGAGAATATAACATTGAATTGTAGAAAAAACAATTTCATTATTTTTTTTCGTTTCTTTACACCTGCTTTTCCATTTTTTGTTTTGTTTTTGTTTAAATACTTTATGCATCTCAGGTTCAGTGAATATGAACGATAGTAAGAAAAAAGGAAAAAAAAAAAAAAGGAATGAACCGGTTCGAGATGTTGTCTCAGCATTTCTCCTCTAGTTTGCATATTTCATGTAATTCAGGTTACTCGAGGAATATATTTCGTAGTCTCTTTATAAAAAACCTCTTCAATATTCCGATCAAAATTTCGTAAATTTTTAGTATCCCTTTTCCTTTTCTTTCCTTTCCTTTTTACCTCTCTTTCAAAATATTTTCAATCAAAAATTATCTCACAATTTTGTTTTTTCCTTCCCTGAATATGTTTTCACGCAGAAAAATTTTAAATACCAACAGAAAATTATGGCATGAGCAAAAAGGAATCTAAAAAAAAAAAAAAAAAAAAATTATGGAAAGTAAAAAGAATAAATAGTATTAGTATTAGTAGTAGCAGTAGTAGTAGCAGTAATATAGCAACGACGAATTTTTCGCGTTAGCTTCATAAAATATTTTTCTACTTTTTACGTTTGAAAATATTTTTGTTTTTTTTTTTTCTTCGCCACAGAGTTTCCCGTAATTTGCCAACACCCTCCCTCTTCCCACTCTATTTCCCCTGTCCTCCCCTTAAATATTCAATGATTTTGTAAGCTCAAGCCAGTTAATTAGCCCTGCTGCTAGAAGAGTTGGACTTGGAAAATTTGGCACAAGGACCACACGAGAGAAACTTCCTCCTCCCATCCTCTTTCTCTTTACCCCTTTTTCTCTCTCCCTCTCTCTCTCTCTCTTTCTTGATCTATCTTTATCTGTTGGAATCTGAACTCTTCATCCCTTTAGTTGTGATCTAAACTCCCCTACCTTTTCTGGTAGTAATAGAACAGAAACGTCGTAGTATGTTCTAAAGCATTCTAGGAGTTTCCCCATTGGATAGAATATAAGATATCCATACGTTTTACCATCATCACCATTTCCATCACCACTTGGGAAGAATGGTACCAGCACGCAAACAACGTCCTAGATTTCTCATAGCAAACAATATTTTTCTTCTTCCAGTTCTCTTGTTCCGGTGGTCCAGTGGAGGAAATCGCATTTATCTTGACATTAGCCAGGACCTTCATCTCTTCTTTTTCTTTTGACTTTTTTTTTTCTTTCTTTTTTTTTTTTATCTTCTTCTTCTTCTTCTATTTTATTTTCTTCTTCTTCTTTTATTATTTTCCTTTTCGTCTGTTTTCCTCCCCCCTCCCTTAACTTTTTTTTTCTTTAACCCCTTTCTTTATTCGACTAAGAAGACTAAAACGAAATTGAGGGAGAAAGAATGAACGAAAGAGAGAGAGAGAGAAAACAAAGATGGCTTCAACTTTCTCCCTAAGTATTCTCTTTCTTTGTCACATTGTTAGACTATTCTTTTTTTTTTTTCATTTTTTCTTTTTTTTCTTGTTTATTTCACTTCCGTTCTTTCTTATTCTTATTCTACTTTCTTTATTTTACTTTACTATTTTCTTTTTATTCTCTCCACTATTTTCGAGTAGTTTCTTATAAGTGACTTATTTCATTCCTTGTTTTGTTTTTTTTTTGTTTTTTTTTCTTCTTTTTTTGTCGGGGGATAGAAAAAGAAAGATATTTTATAGTAAGCTCTTGAAGAAAAATATACTGTGAGACGTTAAGATTCTTAACTTTTTTCTTTCTTTCTTTATTTTTTTTTTTTTTTTTGTCAAAGATACGTCACTGTGTCGCATTAGTAAATCGGATTTTTCCTACAACGGACATTTTTCCTTTTATTTCTGTGTTTTTTATTTTTCTTTTTCAAAATATGTTGACGTAAGATACTTTGATTGTCCTATTTCTAATAAGAAATAATTTTTTCTCGGACACAAAAATAATTGTTAATATCATATCTGTATTATTATTTTAACCACAAATATATATATATAATTAATTATTAAATGAATTATTATAATAATTCTAAGACTTAACTATTTCATTCGAAAGAAAATGATTACAAATACTGTTTGATCATTTAATTTCTTGTATCGACAATAAAATAATTAAATCAGGAAATAAATAAATAAAAATAACAATAAAAAAAAAAAACAGGAAAAAAGCTTTTTCTTTGTTTTTTTTTGTAAAACGAACGAGATAAATTAGAGAGAAATGGTTAAAAGGAATCAATTAAAGGATTGAACGGGTACAGCGAACCTTTTATCAAGATCCTTCAACCACTTTCTAACTTTGACTACTCTAGAGCAAAGGAATCTTCCTAAAGCGAGAGACTAAGTAATAGCCAACCGATTGTTCACGTTACACGCGTGACTCATACTAATGCTTTCAGGATTCTAATGATTTTACTTCGAACGAAGAAACAGAATATATATATGTATAAATCTCTAAAGAGAGAAAGTTAAAAGTGCATCAATTAATACGTTCGTCGCCATGGCACCGTATACCGTTGACGGGCATGCTTCCCCAGAGAGCCCCGTCACCGTATACGGTGACGCTCTTCTTGTTGAAGTTATAATATTTTTAGTTGGAAAAACTTATCACATTTCCCATTTCGAAACAACATTATTTTCGATAAATAAACAATAGTTTTATATTTTATTATTTTCGATAAATCAAATATAATAATATAATATAACCATATAATATGTACGCGGATCGCGCATTATTGATATTTCTACTTAGCGCTTCTTTACGTTACGTAGGCGCGCCGACAGTCGAATTTTGGGCCTGGTGAGAAACTCAATCGAAACGGACTGGACGACAAACGTGTTAAAACAATCATCATGAGGATCATTTTCAGTTGTGGACAATTTTTTGAACATTTCGCTATTTTGTTAAATCGCATCTTTTATCATCAATCAATTTAGTTAGGATAAGAAAAAAAAAAACAAGAACAAATATAACGATGAAAAGTTGAGTTGATCGGGATTCTGTTATAAACGATCGAAGATATGATTGAAATGCATAAACTGTTTTCCGATAGGCAGAATGTTACATGCATTCATCGATCCCTTTTTTTGCGATAAATTATTTCCATTTACTGACAGGTGTCAGGAAATTGTGTGTGTGTGTTTTTTTAAAATAATACCAAAAGACAAAAAAATTATATATATATATCTATAAAAAAAATAAATTCTCTTTACTACGAAAATAAATATTGAACGATACACCATCAACGTCGTTAAAAAGGATGTAAAATGTAAAAAGTACAATAACCGTTTACACTTTCATTTAGAATTCATCTCGATATATATACTTTTCTCCCAAATATACATAATTCATTAATAATATTCTCGACGTACGTTTATGAATAGAAAAATTCTCCAAAAATAATACAAATGTCTACGTATTATTTATTACACATCGCGTAAATAATATTTAATCGAATTACCGATACATACCAATCGTATATATTTCAATAAATCATTTTATCATTCATTATTATAAACGCGAAAATAACAGATACGTTATCCAATGAAAACTATCACGTTTTATTCGGGATTCATTCACCCCCGTCCCCCTTTCCATCTCATGCATCTTCTCCATTTTATTTCGATCATTATATTGACGTTTTCTTCATCATACATTACGAATATTCTTTTACGAACGTGGCCATGTGAGATCGGTTCGATAATTGATTGTGAATAAGAATCGGATCGTTAAATTCTCTCGTCTCATCAGGTTCCTGTTTCCTGAATCTGTGAAAGATTCATTCTCCTTGCGAAATGAGTTCGATGTACGATGAACAGACTTTATACGATTTCGTCATCGAATTACAAATAGATATGGATGTAAAATAAAAGGGGCGAAGATAGGAAAGGATTAAGGGAAAAGGGAAAGGGAATTTAAGATTGTGTAGGAAACTATCCAAGAATTCACAATAGAAACACCATTTCCTTCTCTATCTTATGAGAATTCTTCGATTTTCTCGAGTTTACAAACGCAATGAGAGAACAATTTGAAGAATCTTAATATTATTCGTTGTATTTTAATGAACATAGTCGTCTTTTAAGTTAACATATAAATTACCAATATAATTAACGGTTGATATGATTTTATAAAGTGTTGAAATCAGGATCGAAGAATTTCAGATAAATAATCAATGATGTAAAATATTTATTTAATTAAATGTATAATAAATATTATTATCATTGAATCTATAAAAATAATCAATAATATGTAAGGAGTGTATTTAATAATTGAATAGAATTGAATTGTTATTTTTTATAATGATAAAAATAATTCTAGAAGAAAATGCGATTGCACCGATACCACTTTTGCAAAAATTTTTATGTATTATTCGATAAGAATTGTTTAACGATTGAACATATCTTTTTAGAATTTTTGTTCTGTTCTGTTCTATTCTTGATCTAATCATTAGATAATATCCAATAAATTGTACGATAATAGAAAAGTTATATGAATAATTATAATTAATCAATTATTCCAATTGTGATAAAATTCAAATAAACCGTAATTTCGATTTTCGCTTTGTAGATGAAGGTATTTGAAAATGTTATATATATATATATATATATATATATATATATATATATATTGGTGCGTTAAAGCATTTATCGTACGATCGAAGCAAATTCGTAACGAGTTTAATGGCGG